CCGATTTTTTTCAAAAACACTTTATTGAAATGAAATGAAAATATAGTTAAAGACCATATTTTTAATGATGAAGTAACTACTTACTATGTTTTGTAAGCAGCAAGCCTAATTTCGAACTCCGAATGTCAAATATTTCGATTCTGAAGTCTGGAAAAGAGAAATTACATTTTTCCCTACAACRCAATCTCTCTAAAATGTGAATATTTTAAGTCGATCAATTCGAGTGAAATTCAAAAGCGATATAACCCCTTAAGGGCTAAATTGCTCTTACTCAATAAACATTTGTTAATACAAATATWTGCTCGAATTTCAGCTTTGGAGCCACTCAGAACAAATAGTATTTACATAACACTACTTAGCAGCTAAACGGAACCCTTTAACCTAAGACCAACTATCTATCCGCTTTTCTCTTATACCACTTGCTTAAAACGATATGCACATTCAATCAAATTTCATATAATCTACACACAAGCGCACAAACAAACTTAATACCAGCAGTTAGTCGAATCTATTGAACGCTAATGTTATGCAATTAACCGCAATTGCAATGCCAAGATGTTCAATGGGCTTTGCAGCAGTGGCGAAACTGTTAGACAGTCTCGAAGTAGGCGCAAATCAAGCAAACGAAATCAGACTTGGCTTAAGAAGCTCGAAGTTTGTAGTGCACGAGCACTAATGGCCAAATAAATAGACAAAGTGCATGTGAGTGTGCGTGTGTGGCAACAACTATTGTTTAACATGCATTTATGTGCATATTAAAGTGTTTGTAATGCTAGTATACATTTACTCCATCACGAGTGGCAGTGCATTAGTTGGCGCAGGCAAAGTCATTACGAATTAATACTACTTGACATTTGTAGACAAAGGCAAGCAAACACTTACTTGGCAAGTAGCAAATACATGTATATTGTAATTGAAAAGCACTTGTGGGTGTATGTGTGTGTGCATTAAATTTGATTGCCTATGCATATTTATTAATGTTGTTTGCTTTAATGGTCAAAACTTCACAGACTTCGACAAAGCAGTTGAACTAAACAACCCTGGCACCTCACTTCACTTCTGCCAATAGTACAAGCGACAAATGTATAGATCTATATATTTTTATACAAACACACATATAATTTCATGTAAACGCACATACATTCATATAAACACACCTACATTTGCACTACTTTCATGCAGTGTGTCGGCCAACAGGGCGTATGATGAATGGCTGTATAAACAGCGACCAGCCGACATTTATGCATATTACAAGTTACGCACAGCGYAAACAAACCATAACCATAACAACAAAAACAAAATGCAATACGACAAGTATGTGCGATTACTCTGCACTTTGGCTGTTGAACGTTCGCTGCGAAGAATGAGCGTTAAATTAATGAAATTGCATGCGATTTCAATTTTGCGCCTGCGTTGTGGCAACGCGGCAAGCAGTTCACAGCACTAACTGTAAATCATAGCATATTCATATACATATGCTCATGCGAGTGTGTGTGTGTGTGTGTGTAAGCGTGTGCGAACAAACCAGYACTGACCGGCAATCCACTGACACAGAGCAGATAAAACGAAAGCAAAGCAGAGCCAAGCCAAGCCAAGCAGACGTGCTGTCGACTCGTCGCTATATGTGCGAGCGGCAGCAGCAGCAGCAGCAGCAGGAAATGAATGAATTTCAGTTTTCTGTAATTAATTTGTAAATATTGTATTTGCTCCAAGTGGGACAAGGCAATATTACATGGCAACCGAAAGAGTTGGTTATTATTATTTTTGTAATTTTTTTTGCTTTTTTAAATTTTTTTTATTTGTTTCGGGTATGCGTTTTCCGGTCAGTAGCAGAAGGCAAAAAGACAAGTCAAATCGCATRTATGTGGAAATAGGAATGTACTCTCAGACATGTAAATGTGAAAGCAAGCAGTATGTTTTCGAGTAGCTGGATAAAAAACTAGTTTTTCGAAAATAATTTTTTGCTTTGAAATTTTTTTATATATTCTATGCTTAGAAGAAAATAGAACAAAACCGCTGTGTGGATATATTTGTCGACAAAAGTTCGAATTTCGAAGACTYTAAAATTAAGTCAAAAGTTCCAAATATTAYCCATACTTTTACTCTGACCCAAAGGGTCCAAAAAACTCCTTTGGAAATTTATACATATCTACATCTTATGATCAAATTTGACCCGGACTGATACAAAAAATTTAATACTTTATTTTTAGCAAAATTTTTCACTTGATATCTAGTTATTTTGAAATATCTTTTATATAAGAAWCGATTTTATTAAGAAACATTTGCACAATGCTTTTTTGTTGGAAATTTCTATATTTAATATAAAATCAAATTTTACCTGGACTTATACAAAAATCTACATATTTTATTTTTAGCCAAATTTTTCACTACCGATCGAGTTGTTTCGAAATGCTTTCTATATATTCTAAGTGTCGATATTGGTAGCAACCGAGTTGATTATGAAACACTTGCTAGAAATTTATGCATATTCTATCTGATCAAATTTGACCCAGACTAATACAAAAAGTTATATTTTCACATATTTTGGTATAAATCATTATTATCGGCTTTAGAATAGACTTCAATGTAAGTCTGCTAAGGCCTGACAAGCTTAAAGTTTGTTTTTCCAACAGTACTCTAACACTTTTTATACTTGTATACGAAGAAATAAATAGTTATATACCGATCTAGATCAAAATTAATAATGTTTTCACTTTCAAATATTTTTCGAACACTAATTTCAATTGCAATTTTCACCATATCTCATTACATATATTTCTCTTGATGATGACTCTCAACAGCATAATGTTTGTTTTAACTTCATTAAATTTTTTTTTCGAAAACCTGTAACTTACTAAACAACCCTCGTATATTTCTGGATGACATATGTGTGCTATTCATTAATATATAACCGAAAAATATGAAGTTCACGTTGATTGCTTGTATTAAGCTTCATTTTTTCCCTTCTTTGTCTTTTATTTTTGTTTTTGTTCGTTTCCTATCCAAATTGCTTGTTAAATCTCGTATTTATTTCATTTCGCCGCCTGAATGACTTTATGGCGAAATATCAATGCTTATGTGATTTGCCGATTATTGCCGGTTGAGCGACAAAATTACAAATAAAACAATATAATTGCTTCAGGTACGATATAGTTATGCAATTAAATATAATTCCYCATAAAATACTTATCGTGGATAATACAAATATACGAACTGTAATACAAAAGGATAACAACAAAAGTAATTTAATACTGTCCTTGTTATTATGATAATTAAAAATTGCTATGGAATTCATTAAATTTTTGTGTCTTGTGTTATAGACATGAAATGAATGAATGAAGATTTCTCTATACCTAATTGCAAATTTGTAACATTTCTTGKGAAATTAAATCGAAATTATTTTCATTAAATACAATTTGTGAATAAGAAGAAATTTTCATCTGCTTGCTTAATGTTTAGTAAATTGTGCTACAAGAGTGGGTTTCTTCCATTTAAGATTGCTGACCAGCGAGCCTTTGAATACCTTTTCAAAGGAAGCCCTCTTGCTAAAGTCATCTATAGGAAGACCAAAAGATAGATCCTCTGCAATAGCGCTYCATTTCTGAACGCTTTTTACCCTGTTCTTGTCATGTCTTGAAGACAGCCTCTTTGCTGTCGTATTCAAGACGATATGGGGCGGAGTGAAATCAAGAATCACCTCAATTGCAGCAATTGSGCACATGCACATAGCACTCGTGGTGCATATCAATGCTAGGCTCTACACCTTCGTCACCCATTTTTCAATATTTACAGACTTACAGCTGGGTATCTCGAATTCCAAGGTGAACTATAATGACTGGACTACAACTGCTTTTTCCACCTGAGTTTTGAATCCATTGAGCATTAGTGTACTCAGGAATGGAAGAGCTGTCTTTCTGGTGAAAAGAATGATAAGAATAATATTTTTTTTCTGTTTGGATTTGATAAATTCGGAAATCGAACGTATAGCGAGAAAGTAACTGATCGTTGGGTTACTTTCTTGCTATGCGTTCGATATAAGCTCTTTACATCAAATCACCGCAAAACCAGTTCCAAATTATTATAGTTCTAGCGGATTTTGAAATCTCATATTTTTGTAGAGGAATAGCTTATCTGAAAATATTTTGAATACAATAAGTAACTGCTAAGTAAAATGCGACTTTCGTCTGAACCGAAATTTATGCACCACAATATTTTCTATATCTCTGGTTCATATGCTCTTCATTTCGTCACAGAGAACCGCGTGTTTTAACAAATGAAGAGATCTAATWTAATATGGACTGATTTTTAAAGAAATAAATACCTTCGTTTTTATCTTTTACGTTACTTGAGTCTGTTAGTCTGTTACTCTGTTCTGACCATGTACTTAAGTTTTACGCTATATGACTCAGTTCTATTCTTGTACTTAAGTTTATTACTCTATCAGTCACAATTAAGCTATTTTAAACTTATAATCATTAATCTCTTCGGAATGCCACAAGTCAACATTCTTCGGTAATGAAAAATTTCAAATATTTGGTATTTATTCTGTTCTTCATAAGAGCCTATTATGTCAACGTCCACTATATGAAGGACAAAGCCGACAGCGAGACGCTATTAAAAGCACTCAGTGCTCAATTAAAATTCTTTGATTCTTCCACCATTCTTAGCGACATAAGTACGGGTACAGTTGGTAAAAGTCATACCAAGAATTCGTACAATTTTTCTATAGAATTTCAATTGTAAATATATATTTAGTTATTATATGTACTTACGTCGAACTGAACGGACTATAAATACATATAGCTATTTTTATTCAATCATTCACATTGTACCATTACGCATTTCTTGAGACACGAACGAAAGCGAAAAGAGAGAAGAGAAAAAAATCAGAACAGCAAGGAATCTACTTATTTTCGCTAATAAATTACAAATCAACTTATAAGCTTACCATTTGATATTTATGCTTTTCTAAATACTTGCTTTCAATCTCAAACTTGCAGAGACCAACAGTAGAGCGGCGCTGTAGCGAGAGAAGCGAGGGTGCAGGCGGTGGATGCAACTTTCGACAAAAGTTGAAGCTGCAAAGATTTTTGGTTATTTACGAATTTTGTTGATTTGTTGATTTCGAGGATTGAAAGTTGTGGCATTAGCAAATCAGGGCAAGAGACGACACGACGACACAACGAAGGCGCCAACACAATTGTGAACAAGCGTAAAAAGGAGCAAGAAAAAAGTCAACACAATCAAAAGAAGTGATAAAACACAAGCAGCAAGTGAGTGTAGGAAAAAAAGAAGCAGCAGCGAGGAGAGCGAAAACGATTGWCATAAGAAAGAGAAAGAGAGAGAGTGCGAAGTTAAGGGACGCCAGCGGTGGTTTTGTGGGTGGAAAGTTTGCGCAACAAACGAAAACCGAGCCACTGTGGCTGCCAGCCAGCAACAGTAGTTGAATTTGCGGCCGAGGACAAACACAATTGAGTTGGCGTTAGCGCAATTGTTGTTGTAGTTGAAGGCTCCAGCACTAAAATCAAATAATCAAAGCAAACATTGAGGCTGTAATAACAAGACAAGCTGGAGGACACGAGCGCCAGCTGCAGCAACAGCCGCTACACGCCAGCATAATAGTAAAACTAGCAGCAGCAACAACAGCAATAAGCCAACAACAGCTACAACAATGTTGGCTACTGAAGCAGCGCCGAAAGATGAGCAGCGGCAAAGATCAAAGCATTAAATAGCCAAAGAAGTTGCAGGCACGAGCCATAGAGCAGCAGTTTGAACACAAAAAAGCAAAAGAAGAAGAAGCGGAGGATTAAGTAGTGACTCCACAAAAAGAAAAACAACAAACTGGCTTGCGGCACAAAAATACAAGCCGCGTGCAGCGTGGCGGCGAACGAGACGGCAGTGCAGCGGCAGGCGAGAGGCCAGCACAACCGGCAGACGAACGCTATTGCAGCAACAATAACAAAAACAGGCACAACAAACAATTTGTGTAGTATTAGAGCAACAGCAAAGGCAGCAGCGGCGGCGACAGACGCGTATGCAATCAAGGAGCACAGAAGAATGTGTACGAAGACTGTTGAGTCGCAACAGCAGCAGCGCCACAAATGCACGGATGAGCAATGCGATGACAGGAGTGACAACAAAAACCGACTACGACAACAACAGCAACAGCTGCAACAGCACAATGCCAATGACTGCGACGTGGAAGTTGTTCAAGAGCAAAAAGCCAAACGAGCACACAAAACACTCGTGCGCGAAACGTTGCTGCTGCGACAGCAACAACGAACACAGCAGCAGCAGCAGCTGGAGTCAACGCCAGAASGAGGGCTGGCGCGTGACAAAAGGCTATGGCAGTCAATGTGCGGCCGCGGCAGTGGCAGCGGCACACGCTGTCGTCGTGCAGGAATCAAGTGGAAAATTATAATATCAACAATAATTTTGCTATTATGCCGCACAAGTGAGTACAACAACACATACAAATAAAATGAATGTCATTCATATACTTAMATATATTTTTATGCGCGCACAAATACACGCACACACATACATGCATTTCGTGTGTATATGCACATAAAAGAATAAAACATGAAGAGCTGTTTGGGGAAAAAATGAACAATGCAAACATAATGGCAATAAAAGCAGTAATAATAACAAAAGCGACATTAACAACAACAATGCGTTGCATTATAATAACACACGTAATGACAGCACTTGAGCGTAATAATAAAATAATACACCACAGCTGGCACAYACATACATATATATCTATATSCGCCKATATGTGTGKSCGTGTGTTTGTGCGCCCAAATGCACCTCGTAAGTTAAAGAAAACACAAGTCAATTGAGTGATGCGTTGAGTGATGGCAAAACATATAAAATATAATGACATGCCGGTTAATGTATTTTACGTGTATGCAATACACTGGTGGTCATTCGAATAGGTACACTATTTACATAGAAGGCTATATTAAGTTGCCGTGATATTTGTAACATCCAAAGTTAAACGTCAGAAATCCTATAAAACATATATATAAATGATCAGCAAGAMGAGCTGAGTCGATTTAGTYTTATCCGCCTGTYTGTCTGTCTGTAAATATGTGAACTAGTCTCTTAGTTTTTGAGACATCAATGAGATTTCTAATCACATCCCTTTGTTATCAGATGTTGTTGTATGTATATATGGTGTGCTTGGTAGATTGGTTGAAAAGAGCGGCGCTTGAGCTCTGGGCCGCAGTCGTCCGCTTATACTATAGGCCATCACTAAGCCTTGGGTGATAATCAATTTAAGACTTATCCAGCATCTCACTGGATTTGGTAAAASCTTGAATCTTTTCCACCCCAGCTGTCCAATATTTCTTAAATTGTAGCGTTGGAAGCCGTAGAATATGTCCCGTCTGATACATTTGAAGGCTGCGCTTCTTCTTCCGGGAATTCTCTGCATTCTGCCGAAGCCATTTTCCCGTTTTTGAAATTTAGCATCTTAAGCTTACTTTTGACATATGTAGAAGGTTAGATTCAAATTTCGATCCTGAACAGCTTAAGACGTCCGTCCRTTCTGTTACCTAAAACTTCTATTTACTACATCACTAGAAAGAATGAAGATTCAGGTAGGTCCCCTTCCGATATGAGAGGGAAACACCCTTGCCTTGGCTAGCTTATCGGCTTCTGAGTTGCCAGCGATTGTGCTATGACTAAGCACCCAAACGAGTCTGAAGATGAGGAATCTTGAAACTGTTTCAAGTAAGAATATATACTCCTTGCTTAGCTTTGAGCGTAGAGTTTGTGAGCTCAGCGCTAATTATGCCATTCTGCTGTCGGATTGAATGCTTACATCCATGAAAGTGGCTGGTTTTCATAGCAGTTTATACCKTTTACCGCCACCTTATTAGCAGCCAGTACTGTCTGAAAGACACTACAGTGTTGCGGTACCATAAAACTAAGTTAGACGGAGCACTCCTTATCTTCTTAACTCCTTATCTTCTCGTGAGGTACCTTGAAGAAGAAGGGAATTTCCGCGTGTCCTTGTTCGGACCGTTTGATTTGCTCATCTTCCGAGAGCCTTAGGGCGAACTATGCAAAAATAGCATTAAGCGCTCTATTGGTGCTGCTAGAGATGCCTATGAGAGCTGTTTTATGGACACGTTCAGGTTTTTTAACAAGCACAGCTCTTTACCGAATGAATACTATATATAAAATCCTGTTCCGGCCGACCTTAGCTCCTTTGCTATCTGTCAACCAATCATACAGTTTCTGCATCCTTCACTAGAACTTAATGTAAAAGAAAACATTACTTAATTATCACAATGACTGTGGGTGTACGTATGCTAAATAACCTGTAGGCAAATATGCCAAGCAAATAAATGAGCGCATACATCATCGTGTGTTGTTTTCCCACCTTTCTATGCAATTTGGGCGTCCACCATTGTCATCACTGCTCGCTAGTAGATATCAGTGTAAAATTATACACCCAAATATATATACGTGTATGTGTGCATTGAACAGAAATATATGGCTTGCGTAAATTTTGCGGTGTTTATATTTTTACTTGTCAGTCACTTGCTGGTGTTTTCCATAACGGCATAATTAAAAGCTTGTCAGTGCTCTGTTTTGTTATGACAGATGGCAGTTAAAAGGTGCCTTAGGTATTGAAGTTTTAGTTTGCTTGCCYAAATATTTGTGCGTGCATTAAGCTTAAACATATGTGCACCTAAATGGTTAGGGCGCCTAAAACCTGGCAACATAATATAAAATATACAAACGCTGTTGTCTTAGCGGTTAGTTTCAGTAATATCTCAACAAAATATTTGAGCGCTCAACTCAGACACCCATTATGCGCTGCTGCTGCACTACTAAGTACCTAAACTTACGTGTATTTTCATGTGTAGCGTTTTAGCTGATGCTCTTAGCTTAATTGAAGCAGAAAACTTTCTAAGCGCTCACACAAAAAGCGCAAGTTTCGTGATTACTTACTCCGATGTGTGAGATCGCTGCAGTATTTATCAACTGCTGCTGCACAAAGTTTTTGAATTTATATAAGYTTTGACATAATGCTCTTGATAAATAATACCGTTGTTTTCTTGAGCATGTTGATATCAGAATTTTTTTGGTTGTTAAAGCGTTAATTCGGCAAAGTTTGGAACAATTTTAATATATTCTTTGATCTTTGATCACTTTTGTGTTCAAAGTTTGGTTATTGATTCAGTTAATGTATTTAATGCTATCACAGCAAATCTGAAGGATCCTCAGATTTTTTACGCAGATTCCAATGTCGCAAAATGAACGATAATCTCATCTGGAATCAGTCATGTCTAGAAACACACTACACAACATAATAACTGTAAAAATAAATTACTGTACCTGTGTGGAGAGCCCGTTCTTAGTCTTTCATAATGTTATCTTATTTTAATAACTATAGGTTAGATGATATGGTCGATCCCAGAAGTGGATTGCACTTGCCTTTGGGTCAACGCAATTGATACGGTCTTTATGTAGAATGTTTAGGTTAGGTTACAATGGCTACCTCTCACGCCATACTGTATAAACTACAGGTCCTTAGTGATGCCAGATGAAGGTTTAGCTTAATTTGAGTTGAAATATGCGCCATACCGAACGTTGGAGGTTTGGGAAAACCTTAAGAACGACTTTTTGCCTAATTTTTATACTTCAGCTATTTTCTTGAATCGCGAGGATCTTAAATACATAAAACGAGTTCTTGATAATGCAAGATATAAGATGATAACTTCAAGCTGTGACCAGTCATTAAGTCAAAAACCATCCTATAGTTCTTCCGAAACCGTAAGACTAAAAAATTTGCTTGTTTTCCACCGGGACTATCGAAAATAATCTTGGCAATCCTTTTTGGCTCTCAAGGCATTCCTTCTACTCCTGATCTGTCTGTCCGCCTTTTCAGAAAATTCTTTGTTATCGTTTTTATGACTACTAACAGATAGACTATCCAATCTTATTATTTTTTTTGTTATATATATGGTTGATATTTCATTATCTTATGGTTGCGGTGATTGTTTGACGATCTCCTTAAATATAAGTTTCCAAACATATCTCTATACTTTAGTGCTTTCTAACCTAATAAGGTTCATTCGATGAGTCGTAAAGCCATTATTGCTATTTTGGGAAATATCAATGGAGTTTTGTGAAATCACGCTATATATCTATTAACGACAATAGTAGAATAGATTAAACTCTTAAGGCCTTTATGCCTTAAGATCGAAAGAATTTGGAGAAGAAACTAATTTCTCTCTCTTTAATAGACTCACTCAGTGGGTTGTACTGATGGTATCGGCTCTTATGAGCTTAAAAGACTTGACGACCACAATTTTATGAAAATAAAACAAGCGCCGGGCTAGCCAGATTAGGGTCCCTAGCAAATTTCTTTAATATCCTCACTAAATGTTCTTAGAGTCGACTCACCGAAAACTTTACCCATGTATTGTATTAATTCATCAATGAGTTAGAGTGAAGCTCAGCTTTGAGCTATATTTCTTATCTATAAGTTTCTAAGCATGTCCGTTTCTGATATATCAGTGAGGTATTTTAATGAATGGCCAAAATTTTGAAAGAACACGTGTTACTTTTCATTATTTATTGCCACTTCGGTCTTAAATCTTAATCGGAGTTCAAGYATGAACACCTTAAAGTAAATATTAGCTTATTTCCTCATACAAATTGCATTAAGACGCACTTAGTTATTGCGAGAAATTTTTATAATAATAAATTTTGATTTATTATTTCATAAAGTTCAGTGATACTTAATAAAATTTTACAACAAGGTTACTGACAAACATTCATTCGAAATAATGCCAGTCACGTCGCATCACTCAGCAGGAGCTTACTTACCTGCAGACCAAAGCACTCCTGGCACACTTACGCTTATATACCTCACAATTTCGCTTGAAATTGCCCTCAACACCCTGTAAGCCAACTACAATTACTCATAACACTCACTACGTGCTCGTGTATTCATAAAATATCCAGATGACAAATGCACCGAAACACAGAAATACACACGAACCCTTATACCGTTACAGCGGTATATGATATAGGTAGGTATATGCACCTTTGGGGCGACATTCGGCCGCAAACAATAGAAAAATCGCGCAGAATCCAATGCGAAACAGAAATAAAAGAATGGCACGGCAATAAAGGCCGAAAAAAAGAGAAATACAAATAAACAAGCGAGCGTAAAAGTAAAGGCAAATAAATTACGACAATTTATAATTTTTGCCAGCTTTTCCTTTTCACATTTCGCCCACAGCTTTTGCATTAAATCTTTTTCATATTCTACGGCTTTATCTCAGGTTCTCTTAGTGTTGTTGTTATTATTATTATTGTTTCCTCTGTCTCTTTTCTTCTTTCATGCTGCACTACGTTGCTTTATGCCATTACCTTTATCTGTGGCCGGGAATATTTTGCATTGTCTGCATTGTCGACAACAAAAGGTCACGTGCTCGCCATACGAAAGGGTCGTCTCATGTCCCCGAGCTCATTCACTGCCCTAAGCGGAGATCTACACGTACAGATACAATTCAGCGGCGAAGATGTGGCAGTCGGCAATGCTGTTGGGGGCGTGGCTGGAGTTGGGGCCAAAGATGGCGTTGAAGTGGCGGCTGATGAAGCAAACGTGCGGAGTACAACAACAACAACGTCAACCACTGAGGGCAAGACAATGACGACAACGTCGTCTACGACATCACGCACGACACAGCCATTAGATGGGTTGGATTTCCGTCAAGTGGGTGTCGGCGGCGGCGGTATGGGCGTCGTGGAGAATACCATTACAAGCACTTTGGTAATTAGTAAAATCATTGACGATTTTGTGGATGCAATGAATGCGGCGTCGGGTAATGATACAGCGCGTGCATATGTGGAGCATGCATGGTTCAATAGCAGCTTAACGAGCAGTTCGAGTGCGGAAGTGACGACGCCAGCARCGTCCAATGATACCCACAATCAGTCGGCGCGTCCAACCAAAGTGTTGCAGCGGCGCCGCAAAGAAATCGTGCAGAATATACCGGTCTTCCCCGATCCGCGCCATAACGTCACACAAATTTCGGTACCCTGTCAGACTTTTACACGTGGCGGCCTGTACGAAATGCAGGTGGTAACCAATTTAAAGACTACCAAGSCAGTTGTTGCGGCGAATGCCAGCGCTCACGAGCCACTGCCCACAATGACCACCACCACCCTGATGCCGGTAATCGATGAGCGTTTGCGTCAGACTCTGGACGTGCGATGGCCAAGCGCCGACATGCAAGTGACGCCGACACGCTTGCGCACCTACCCCGAACAATCGGTCGAGGTCGTGCTACGCTTTCCCGAAGTCAATTGTGAGCGCGCTTGGCACGAGAGTAACTCGCTGGATTTACCGCAATTTTGGTTGGAGCTCATCTATTGCGGTAAACAACGCAGCTGCAGCGACGTGTCACCACAAAATGTCAGCAAATCGAGTATCTTATATATGGAGCAAGTACGCGGCTACCCGAAGCATAAGCTTGTGCAATTGGGTTGCGAGCTCTTCGGTTTGGCCGGCAATTATGCGGTGCAGTTGCGTCCGATGGTGCCGGCGCCGAATGTGCCCATCACACGTCGCTTTCTCAGCGTCGATTGGAGCGATAAATTTGTGTTTAATGTGTATGCGCGGAGCATCTTTCCTTGCGATCCGCATACGGGCATCGGTGTGTTGTACGAGTATCCAGCTTGTATTCTGGAGCAGGGTGATCGCGTGCGCGTTTTTGCAAAGTTGCGCGCTGATGTGGCATCGCTGAAACCGCCCACCACGCTGCACTATGTCGCCGAGCAGCGTGTAGTGAAGAGTCATCATTCGCTTTACTTCAGCTGTGACCTATTCACCGAGAAGTTCGTCGAGTACTGCTTCGTCTATGTGAGTCAAGCCATATCGGGTGCGGTAGCGGACGTGCGAATGGATTGTGTGCCCACATTGCCTGTTAGTGGTGAGTAACATATTTTATATGCATTATATTCATATTGTATTTTGGTAATCAAACTCTATGCGGTTGACCTTTCCCTAGTCTATGTGCATGTTTCGTTGTGAGCACAGCATTATTTGTTCAGAGAGGTGTGCTCTTTGATACCTGTTATGAAATTATTGAATCTCCCATTTTGGTTTAAGGTTAGGTTAGTTCGTGGGGTTGATACAAAAATCAATGAAACACGTGGGAAGAAATTCGTTGTATGTGTTTGCCATAAGTTAGATCACCAGCTCCTTATCGATCGACGAATCGTTTTGTGCCTAACACAAACTTATTAAGATGGTTATTATCAATCACAGTCACATCGCTAGGTTCGCCAAAAGTACGTCTGCAGAGATATTTGAATGTCAGTCTTGTTTAAGACAACCATTAGAGAAGGAATTGACAAGCTGATTCCAGCAAGCTTTCCTCTATACAGCTTTGAAAAAGAACGTAGCGAAATTGACTTTGCTTAGAGTTAGTAGTGAGGATGACTTTTAGAATCGAATCCCTGGCGTTGGCCAACGCTTGCTGAGCCAAAGGTTTAACGTCAGCACGCAAGCACATCTGAGAACCGACTCGACCCAAATCGAATGAAGTTGAGGAATGCGTTTCCTACCTAACCAGCTCATCGGCTTAGCAGTTTCCAGTGATTCTGTCGTGACCGGACACACATAAGACTCTTATATGACAAAAGCTTTAAGCTATTGCTAATGAGAGCAAGCGCTCCTTGACTTGTTTTGAGCACAAATCCCTCGCAGGTGTGTGAGCCATAAGGAACCCTCAAGATAAGATTTTGCAGTAATTGAATTTGGAAGGAATGCAGTTGTAGCAGTGAAGAATTTCCCAAGGYCTTATATACCTAGCTTCCCTAAGTATAATAGCAGTCCTCGCCGACAATCTTTTCAAGTATACAGTCTTTGAACACGCTCCAGCTGGTGTGGGTTTCGGAGCGCCCTCCACCAGGCAATTACACCATAAAATATTATTGGTTCAACTATAGGTTTATAGCACCACTTTTGGTGAGGAGCCCCACCTCTTCCCAATTACTTCTCTACAGCCGTATAAGGCGACAGATCCGTTCCCACGATAGTCCGGTTTACGTACAACAACAACAATGACATCAGATGCCTTCTTCCATATCAYTCTGCTCACTTAGTAACCACATATATATATTATATCAGTTGGTTTCAATTTTTAAGGAAGTAATGATTTTAGTCAATGGTTTCACATATTTTTAGGTAATATTACTTTTAGGAAGTGCTCACATAGTTTAAGTAGTTACATCCTGATCAGCCTGGTTTTTTGGCAAGATTGCTCGATGATTTTCCACACCGCCTTTAACCTCGTTCGTTCTTCTTTATAAAGCCGTCTTTGCTAATACGATCACTATAGAAAGTGCTAAGCATTTCTTAATCATTGCAAATTATGTCACTGAATCCTTCAAGTATTTGGTGAGCATTTTCTGAGTTTCAGAAAGTTACATTCCATGTRTTGAAGAAAAATGATGTTAAAGTGTCTCTCTGCAACGTCATCAAGTTTTAAATGGCCTAATTGAAATTTTCTGTTGTATTTTAAGTGGCTCCTTGAGATGGTGTAATATGCCAAAAAATATTAAGTAGTCGTAATTATCTAGGTGGTACTAGTCCTGACAACTATGCAGAAAACAGCCTTTATTTACGTCATAATGCTCCTTGTTTTTCCCAACCTACATTGCTTCATATAATTGAAATCGCGTGAACTGCTCGCTAAGCATGATAAGCGCACAAGTGATATATGCACCAATACTAGACAGGCATTCATATACATATATATGACCTAAGCATATCAGTTTTGATACTCCGCAACATATTTGCAAGGTGATTAGAACTACTAGTATGTCATAAACGCTCCCACACACACACACATATGCGCACAACTGGGTGACATTAGATTACAATATTATTAGCTAGTGAATAACCCATTGAGTACTTGCGACATAAGCAAACACACCCACRCACACACACTAATGCAACTCACATTGTCGCGCTTCTAATCACTATGCACCTACTTGTGTGCTTGTTGTCAGTTCGTTGACTAAAAGCGATGAGTATTTGCAACATTGTCGGTTATTTGTTTTTGCAACAAACTCGCTCACACACACACAGCGAGAAGTCCGTGTAAATGACAACGAATTTAGGTCATTATGGACCGAGTCAAACAATGAAAATTGCTGGCAAATGCATTGCATGCACACACACAATCATATACGCAACTGTCATCCGCGTATGTGTGTGTGTGTATTGTTATTGCCATCCAGTTGACAGTTCGCGTATGCAGGGCAAGTGCACAAATGCGCGTATAAGCCTTGGGGGCAAATTGACAACGTCAACGTCAACGTTAACGATAATGCAAAGCTTTCACACACATATATACATATATAACGAAAGAGGCACATTTAACAATATGTGTGTGTGTGTGTATTTACTCATTCGAGTGCTTATTCATATTTGCTCGCATGTAACGCATTTGATTATGTTGGCCTCGAGGGTTGATGATATTGTTAAGATGGCTATATATATTGTTGTTGGTATTGTTGCTTTTGCATTATACGCCATCCATTGTTAAATGATGTAAAGCTGCCAACATCAACGCCAACTGCTTGGCAATTGCAGCGTAGCGCTATCGATGCAACAATACATTATTTTCCCGCTTTAGTTGTCTGCCACGTTGCTACCCTCGTTACTCTTGGTCTGCCCTACATGTCTACAAACTTAGATAACTTGCATATTGAGGCGCATTAAGGCAGCCGATGTTAGGAGTTTAACGTATTTACTCGAGGGTGGAAAGCTAATCGGTGGAATTTTCGGGATCCCGAAATTTCGAGTTTGTTGCTTAAGTTTTTGCATTATTTTAGTGTGTTCGTTGAGTTTGTGGAATCCCGAAATTTCGGGATTGGTGTAAAGTTTTTTATTATTTAATTTCCTTAATCTTAAAATTTTTTTGTAATGATAAATGTAAAATGTACAGTATATGCTGAAAAAACATTTGCATAGATTTGCAAGGATACCGGAATTTCGGCAGGTGCTTAATTTTTCAAATTTTCTTATTTTATTAGGCGGATCACTCCACTAAGTGTCCCGAGATCCCGTTTTTTCAGGCTCCTGCTTTTCGAGTTTGTTGCTTAATTAATTTTTTTTTATTCAAATCGTTGAAATTTTATGTAATATTAAAAAGTTAAACACGAAAATTCTCGGGTTTTCGGGATAACCCTATTTAGCGTACAGAATTTCGGAATTCACACAGTTAACCGTACTTGATTGCTGTATTGTGTACAAATAATAATAAAAAAATCAATCCCGAAAATTTTCGTGATTACGAGTTAACTCTGTTTATTTATTTCGGATATCTGCAACTTCGGGATTGCTTCTTAATTTATGGCAATATTTCTTTTAACTTTGAAATTTTATGTAATAAAAAATAAACAGTCCCGAAAATTATCGGAATGCCGAGACTCGGTTTATTTGTTTGTTTATATCGGAATCCTGCAATTTCGGGTTGCCACTTAACTTATGGCATTTTCTATCTTAATTTTTGATATTTAAGGAACAAATTATCAATCCCGAAAATATTCGGGAATTCGGGTATACTCACTTCGGGATTGACAGAATTACGCGTCCGTGACTGCTGTGATGTGTGCCGTTAATAGCACTTGTTAGTCTGTTGCACCAATCATGCTGCAAACTCTCCATTTTTTCCGCTACTCCCCGCTCAGCTCACATCGATAACCATGACAAATAATAATAATAAAATAAAATAAGTTTATATCAACCTCATGTATCGTATTTGTCATTAATAATGCAAAATTGTTTTCCTCTCTTTCTTATTGCTGCTGCTTCGCTGCGGATATCACGTGACTTCGTCAACCGACTCGCTGCCTACTTTGCCGCTGACTACGCCACAACTCTAATCACATTGCCCGGCTGAATCGCTTTACCTCATCTCATATGCCTGCGCTATCGCCCACTTTTCATAATGCGGCGCTGATCGCTTTATGACAGACTCCGACACTGGCGGCTGGGGACCRTGGAGCGAATGGACCCCATGCTCGACGAATTGTCTGGGTGGCACGCGTAATCGTTATCGATTTTGTGACTCACCCCCACCGCGTTATGGCGCTAAATTCTGTGAGGTAAGTACAATTCAAAGCGTAACTAAATAGCTGCGGCATGTCAAATGGCAAGCCAACTGTAGAAATAGTCGGACGTAGATAGTAAGCTAGTCGTCCGTCCCACCAAACAACCAACCGACCAACTGAGCCACCGTACAAGTGACAAAGCCACCCCTTAAATGACCATACTTACCGCGGCTTGCAACCAAGTGTGCCTGGTGCTGGTGCCGTTGCCGTTGCCGTCTCCGCTGCCAGATCAGCGCATCGTTAGACCACTTTGCCGCTTGGCCAACCATTGGCAAATGGCATTCTGTGGTGCATAATTTAAAACTTTTCCCGCGCGTTTAGTTAAGTGATTTTATTTTGTTACTCGCTGTGCACACACTTTCTCGCTGTGTTTATATTTGTTTTTATTTTGTTGTTGCTTTTCCGCATCTTTTGTTGTGCTAAACGCATCACATTACCGGCTTGTTGTATCCGCACATTTGTCGTGGGTAAACTTTTAAAGCACCAAAGTCCATACTCCCGGCAGCTGGGTGGGCAGCAGTTTACAGCGCAGGTTTTGTCCCCTGTYCGTTCGGCTCGTAAATCGTAAATTTATAGTTGCAATTTAAGTTATATATTTAAAGTCTAATGGCTACAATCAGTGGTGATATATATAGTCCAATAATTGGACGGTTTTGTTGCGCTATTGTCGGTAATGAATAGTGGTGTTATTTGTGGACGCTTAAATTTGGTTGCTGATAAGAACAAACWAAGAATTTCGTATACCATATATCTCAAATGTCTCGGATTTCTTAGTTACGAACATGACAAATACAAAGCTTGTTAGTCGGGGACATTTGAGTCGGTGGGTTTGACGATCTTCTTTACACACAATCTACTAGTTTGACCAACAAGGATCATTCCTTGTGAACGCAGTCTTATTTTTGGCRAAGCACTTGCTCTCATAACTTCACTTTTTCGGTGTTCATAAACCCACTGCGGATATGAGAGCTGCCTTTTTTACGGGGATTATGGGATTAAAGTACACAAGCAAATATTAATCATCAAAAATCACTTCACCATTCTCAAAATATTCTCTATTAAGGTCTATACACTTTTTCGTGTGCCCAAAGCGCTCTTTGCCAGTCARTATTATACGACGGATGACTCATCATTTCGAAGTTTTGAGTGCTCTAAAATACAGTCATACAGATTTCCTAAAAGATATGAAACAGCCAAACGGTTTTCCACCACCATTTACTATACTGCGTTGCTCTGGTAGTATGTTTGCGACATTCCCGAAAAACAGGCAACGATTTGCCTATACTTGCCTTTAAATCACGATTCTTCGATCTTGCAATATCAGTTCGCACACAGCGTGAATAGTTTCCGGAACCACAATCGATTTTATACAACCTCTCATTTGTGATTTTGTATCTTCACGAAATGCGACGGCAAGTGATCTCGATTGAGTTCATCAGACTATCTATAAATACTGGGCCCTTATAGAGCTTCATCGTCAAAAATATAATTAAATCAATTACTGTGCTAATAGACGTCGAAAATTTTAAATATTTGCGATTTCATTCCATTTTTTGGCCGTGATGAATATTTTAAGTTACTGTAAACAGCAAAAATATCGCTCATATGTCAAAACGTTCTAAGTATGTATGCCATCAAAAATGTTAAGCTTTACGAAAAAATTGTGAGTTGCCAATTTCTCTTTCAGTCAAACTGAATCTGGTTTTACGCATTAGACTGATCTTAGACAAAATTCTCCTCAAAAATAATGAATTTATAATTTCTCTGGATAAACTTTCTYGAGCTCCAGTCTTTATGCTCGACAAAGTCTAACATTATTCCTCCATAAAATATGGTGTTGTAGTATATTAAAGAGCAGACTAAAAAAAGAGCTTTTCAATTTTCTTTGTTTGCATTGTGCTTTCCATTGAAGCTCTTTATCTTATGATACTGCTTTGGTCCACAGATCGCTGAGTTAATTTACTTTGTGTATCTGTTAAGCAATTCGAGAATATTTTGACTCACCCTCGTAATTCTGTCGCACAACTAAATAACCAACGCAACGGACAACATATTTATGATTTTAATTTAAGTTACTCAAGCAAATGAACTAATTACACAGTCGCTACTTAAYTGCCAACGACAAACTGCGTTGAGCCAAGAAAAATGAAAATTTCGCAAAGAAGAAACTTTACAAAAACTTATGACGCCATAGTTAATTACACGCTAAAACTTGCTTTTCAAGCTTCCGCTTGCTACCATTAAGTGGAGGTCACTGTACTTGCAACAAAAAACAAAAACAAAACAAGGAGTCTAAAGCTCAGAACACGCACAACAAAACACTTCACAAAATACAATGGTGCGCATGAAGGGGTCTCAGCTGCGCTTGGGCGGCGCAGGATGATGCTTTGGTTGCTATCACGCTATTGAGGAAGTGAGTAATCATAAAGATTATAAACTCTGTTGAAAGTGATTACAGCAGTCACAGAAGTGTGGCACAAAACAAAAGTGTGCCGAAGAGTAAAAAAAACGTAACAACTAAAAGTATATAAGAAACCACAACAAACAGAAGATAAGGACACAATGAATGAAACCAAGAAATGTGTAATAACGCTGGAAGAAGCACGCAAACAAGCATGTGTGTGTGTGTGGGTTATAACACATAAAAAAAGAATGCGTGCAAATATTTAGTAGGTAAAAGTAGCAACAACAGCAATAMCTCATTGTCGGCGAAAATGAGTTTTTTGCGCGCCAAACAAAAGCCTACAATAAAAACAATGCAAATGATAAGACTGACAAGCTTAATATATGGTACTTTCCCCCATTCATGCTTTGTAGTTGTTTTTGTTGCACAACACGTTTATACACATAATACTTCATGCACAATAGTTTTGYTGCTGCGACGCCAGCTAGCGGTTTACTTTCATATTCGCAAAGCGACGCGTTTTTGCTTTCCTCTTTGTCACATTTCCGCCCGCGCAGCGTTGCATTTGTCTATATGCGGAAATTATAATTTCGCGCCTCGCCAACGCGCTCTACGGCGCCATATCAAAGCTGTCAGTTGTTGTTGAGTGCCGTCTCTAGGCAAACGCGGCGCGCGGCAGGCGCTTGTTAGGTATGTGTGCGTGTGGGTGGCGCCTGAGCATGAAAGCGCTKTCATAAGGCGATTTGTGCGGACCAGCGCGAGCAATGATAGTGGCGCGCGCAACTGTAGGCTTTACCCTATTTGGTGTTTTTGTTGTTGTGGCCGCGCTGCCTTTTGTTTGCAGCACATTGCGGTTAACATTGTTGTGCTATACGCTTATTGTCGACAACGAATATATATTCCCTCGAACATATAACAAATATATATATGTATAAACGTGTATGCATAGTATATGCTTATTTATATACATGTGCATGTGGTTGTATGTGTGCGTTCGGATAGTTTATGTGCCTTTAGGGAAGGTGTCAGCGTTCTARCACTTGAACTAGATTGTGTTGGGAATTTACGGCGCGGCGTTTTTTATGCGACAACCAGCTACCAACAAGAAGCAGTAAGAACTACCACAGCACTGCTAGTTGACGACATCATTTACCCATAAACACACATAAACGCATACACCTACGCGCCCGTCTGTTTTATTGTTCTACCATAAATTGGTGTTTTTAGGCGCACGCACACACATACACAAATGTAGTGACATAAAATCACAACGGCAACAACACCAGCAACACCAACAATGATATTGAAGACAACATCTTTGTTACGCTTGAGGGCAAGGCGCTCGGCGCTCATAAACGGGCGTTGCTGAGCCCTAAGCATTACAACTTAATAGATACCGACATACATAAATACACATGCGTGTTAGCATTGTTGGCGCTAGCAAAGATATTTAAAATTATTACGAGAAAAGCTGTGCGAAAGTTCTGCAGTTTTTAGTGCAAAGCCATGTTCGCGCATAGCAGTGCAATGTTGCAGCGCCGAGAGCCAGTAGTTCAAACTTTTAAGTGGCTATGCCATAAATGGTCGCAAGGTTGGACGGACAGATGCAAGGTGCTACAGTGTTTTGCTACTGTTTGCTGTCTGAATTTCAGGTTAGCTGAAAGAAAATTCGAAATATATTGTTTTAGGTCTAGATGAGTTCGAAAGCAGTTGCTTTTTGTTTATACGAGTCTCGTATCGTAAGATCATCTTCATCATCTTTCCGCAATCGTATGAGTTCTTACTGAACATTTTCCAATAGGCATCCATGCGGTAAGGCTAAGAATCTTGGCGRACGTTAGTTGTCAAAGTTGTATAGWAGRGAGTGGRRTGGAAATATCCAGCCACTTTCTCCTCTATTGTTCAGCCTTTTCAAGATTGAGGATGAAGCATCTTGACAGTATTATCTTGGACGAACCAGGAGATTTAGCAGAAACTGACATTACCCAAAAGAAAAAAATTGAAGATAGKTCCAAAGCGCTTTGTSSGTTTGTAAGGGTCTTATAATTAAGTATGTGGAAGTTTTGTGTACCAAAAGTACCGTTGTCCTAAACCGTCCAAGTGATATCACTGTCAAGATCGGCTTCCACAAAATCCTTACATTTGCACAGATCATATCCCGTGATTCCGATATCAAAAGTTGAGTGAGGTTAGCTAAATAGGCAAATGTCGTGTGAATAATCTCTCTGGAACTGATGTGGATGCCTGTCCGTTGTCATTCCCAGAACTCGGGTTCGAGTTGTTTCAGTTTAAAAATGACTTTTCTTTGCCTGACCCCTGTCAGATATCTCTTTAGCAACTCAGGGAGGGTTTCGACCTCGTCGCCGTAAGGCATGTGKCGATGACGATATCCTCTTTGGTAAAAGAAAAACACTAAGTTAATTTCTGTTCAACTGACAAGTTCATGTTCTTATTTTTTTGTTGGTCACCTATGGGTTTTTGTCTTTAACATAGAGATATTCTTGCTGCTCAAGCACGTCTTCTGAATAAAGACAGCATAAGCTCCAGCTTTTTCCAGATGCGGCAAGAGATTGGCACTAGTCACACTTGCGTGATGGAAATTAGTCTGCCTTTCATCTTTCAGTGCTTTTTCTAGAAGTGCGACTTCCGCAACATCTTCACTACCTCCGTCATCCTCTTCGCACAGCTGCTGTAGACTGAAGAGTGATCCGTAGTTCGATGGTCTACCTTCAGCACTAACCGCGTCCGAAGGAATGGGATCGATTGCCSTGTTCTTAGTCTGGCGAAAGATGGGCAGTGGAGGGCTCCAATATCGAAAATATCGGGCAAAGTTTTGCTGATCTTTTGAAGCAATAAGTACTAGGGGGTCTTTCARAAATACGTCGCGTTTAAGTTCATTTCAATTACTGGATCACATTTATAAGGGTTTAATAAGAATAACGGATKCTTTGCAAAATTTATACGAACAGGGTTRTATGAATCTTYATTTTATMTAATTTCTCTCYATGTGCTTTCTGTAATTGCCCACTGTGCATGAAATAGTAACCGAACGCATATCATGTTGATTAAGCCACTTGCTCTTTGCCGCCGCTTCTAGGTGGTCGCTGAAATGCGTACTTGACATGTCGTAAAATTATTTTGAGCCTGTTTTTAGGCGCATATAATTGAGTTGTGAGAGCCTGTGAACGCGGCGCTTGAAGAATATGCAAAGTGTACGCACAGAGCACTTAGTCGCACACGTTTAACCAGCCGCCTACATGGGCTTGCGGCTAAGTTTTCTTCGTTCCGCTTGCGGTTGTTTGCATGTGTAGACATTTAGCAACTCACTGTTGGCATGTTGGCAACTCACTGTTGCCATATGTTGACACACACAAACACGAAAGTGTCGGAGAATGTCAACTTGTTGCATGGTTGCCAAGTAACTATGTGAGTCTTCACTGCCTTTGTTTGTTCGATAAATCAAAACAAATTTTTTAGTAGAAATATTTTCATAGAAAACGTTGAAGTTTGCGGTGACGGATATAATTTTCTGCAGAATATACATAATTTGTAACATTTGAGTACAAAATACGCTGACTTTTTTCAAAATTTTGTAAAAACCGAGTTCAGTAAGTGACGTCCACGCCGAACATTTCCAAACAAGCAAACTGCGAAAATGCCACCTAAGAAAGGTAAAGGTAAAGGCAAGAAAGGTAAGAAAGAGGAGAAGAAGGACCCAAATAAGTTGACTAATGTGGATCGCGCCTTTTGTGAACTCACCATAACCGATCTCAATCAGAAGCTTGCACGTCTGCGCACACATCTCGCTTCGCTGGATGACAATAATGTCAATCTCAAAGATAAACTGCGTGAAATCGAGGAGGATCACACCGATGTGGCGGCGCATTTGGAGCGTACGCTCGGCGAACGCAACGAAACGATACACGAGCTGGAAGAGCGGCTCACCGAGATCATCAAAATACGTGAAGCGGAGAATGCGCAATCCGCAGAGAAAATAAGAGAACTGGAGACAAAGTACAAGTCCATGCATGATCAGCTGACTTCCGAAATTAAGCTGCTCAACGGTAAATTGAACTCGCTCGACGAATTTCGCGTGCAACGTGATCTGTTACTCTCCAAATTCGACGATCAAGAGACGGAGTTGAAAGAGAAGGAGCGCGCACATACCGAAATGCTTTACGCAATGGAACAGAAAGCGGTCGTGGAGAAGGATGCGCTGAAGAAAGAGGTGGAAACTAAGCTACTGCAGGTATCGGAGGATTTTACGCGCTCCAGTGAGATACGTAATGCCGGTTATACACGTCGCTTGATACGTGAGAATATCGCCTTGCAGAAAGAAATTGACATATTGGTGTTGTCGCAAATTAAAATGCAACAACAATTCAATGATCAAGTTGTACGTCATAAAGAAATGGCCGAGCAGTATGCGTCCATGGATCAGCTAAAGAAGCAACTGATACGCAACTCACAGAATAAGATTAAGATAATCGAGAAGCTCACCGACAACTACGAGAAGCTCAAGTCCAAGTAYGTGGAGGTCGCTAAGTACCGCAAGTTATACGAAACCGCAGTTAAGCGCGACATTTGCGAGCGTTTTAACTTTAAGGATATGTCGAAGAAGATGCGTCATTTAGAACAGCGCATCGAAGAGCTGAAGATGGAGAAGTCACGTTTTATAGCGATGCATCAGCAGCATGAAACCGAAATACAACGTCTCCGTGATATCATCATACAAATCAAGAGCACCGTACGTTTGGCCATCGATGCTATAGATAAACCATGCGACAAGCATGCAGCCAGTGAAAGCGTGTCGCAGGATGCCATGCGTCAACTGCGCCGTCATGATTTACTCACCGAGTTAATGGATATTGTAAGCAGTCACTCCGACAAGCTACCGCCCACACCTTCGGCCTTGTCGATTTCACGTTCCACCTCCTCGGTCTATCGTCCCGGCAAAATGGGTTTCATGCCGCGTAGCGCATCTTCGCTGATGGAAATCTTCAAGCGTTCCGCGCATAAAGCAGCATCTGCTGATGTTGTCGCTACCGAATATCAAATTCAGCAGGTTGAGAGCAAAATTATACCGAAAGCGCGTGAACTGGGTGGTGAAAATTTATTTGATGTGGAAATGGGTTCCACTTTGTATGTGTCTTCGTCGCACGAAGCCATCGAGACGGTGGTGCCGGTCGAGGATGAGCAAGTGGAGGGCGAAGATGAGGGCGAATCGAGCAGCGCCGATTATGGCTCATCTGCAACACGCGCAAAACAATCGATCGTTACAACGCCGGCAGCTGAAGTTGAAGCACCAGCGCCGGAGCGTCTCTCAATGAAGGTGCCGCAACGTTCCGAGACCGCCGAAACTGTCTCSCAGCGTGGTAGCGAGTCCGGCTCACGCGTTATTTACGATGTGGAGTACGACGAGGGCGATGAAGAATTTTCAATCAATTTATTTTATTGAAGATATTGAAATATATTTTTTKTATATAATTATTTTGATATAAAAATTAAATTATTTTATATTTTAATAAATTTATAATAAATACAAAAATAACGCATATAAAGTATTTATTGTTATACTGAAAGCTCTCTGAATATATATATTTTTTTAATTTTAACTTAAATTTTAAACTTATTAATTTTTTTTGTTTTTCTTTGCTGCAGGGCCCCTCAGTGCAGACCGAAAAATGTGGCAATGCCATCGCCGATACTTGGGACTGTATTTACGAAAGCAGCGGCGCCACCTTTACTGCCGCTAATCGCACCGAGGTCAGCCAAGAGATTGGGCCCGGCTGTCGCTGTGGATGTATTGTACATTTGGGCTCGTCAAAGCCGAAGCGCATTTTGGCAGGCGCCACACAAAGCTGTCCGGGACGCTCGTTTTGGCTTATACAGGTGAGTGGCATTGCAAATTATTATTAGATAGTTTTAAATAATTGCATTTAAGAACTATTTTTCGCTTTCTAACCTCACTTTCGTACCAGAATATCGAACTATTTTTCGATTTCTAACCTCATTTTTTTTACTTGCTTTCTGAAAAAGATTTTACTTTTATCTTCAGTAAAAAGTAGGTCTTCAATTGAAACATCTGCGTTCAAGTTCTTGTCTTTAGATTTGCGCGATTGCAGCTATTTAGCTTAGCTTTCGGACCAGATGGTCAAAAACTCTTTTTTCTGCTCAACATAGACTTTAGCTTCGGCAAATACTACCGCATTGTCGTAAAAACACATACGTTCCAGCGAGCATTCCATTGAAGTTTAAAAGCAGGGAAAAGTCGCTGAAAGCAAGGTACGCTAATTCGGTGTAGGTTTAAGATAGAACGAGATCAAACCTTAACTTCGGTTCTATCGATGCTATAATACCCCCCACAACTACGAGAGATTTCTTGCAAGAACTTTTATCGGTGAGTTTGTATGTTAGCTATATGATATAGTGATCCGATTTGAATAATTTCTGCTGAGATTGAATTATTGCGTGAGGCAATAGCGTATGCCAAATTTCTTGAAGATAACCCTTCAAATGTAAAAGTTTTCCATACAGCACTTTGCTCCGATCGTTCAGTTTGTATGGCAGCTATTTCCTACAGTGGTCCGACATCGCCTGCTTGGACAGAAGTGCAATTTTTAATTTTTTCAGTAGAAAAGAACGTGYGCAAACTTTTAGGTATAAATGAGGGACTAGTTCGGATATATACAGACAGAAGGCTGGTCAACCCGACATACAGACTCTAATTCGACTCAATTCGCCCTGCTGATCATTTACATATGTATATACTTTATTGGGTATCCGCTGTTTCTTTCTGGCTCTTACAAACATCGTGAAAAATGTTATGATTTAAGAACGGTTTAAATTGAAAAAAAAAAAATCTGGATCCATTTTTAGAGCAAAAACTTAAACTTTGGGGAACGAGTTCTAAAAACGAACGAACTTGGGAAATAACGGGCACCCTAAGATCGACGAAGCGAACACGCTGCCCTCTCGATTACAATTCTTGACATACTTTTCCCTGCCTGCTTGTGTTGAAGTCATTTTATATACTCAAATTTGCCTGTTAGCAAACCTTGATTTCCATAATTTAGTTAATAACTTCACCAACTTAGCTAGCAATAATTGGCTTACCGCTAACGAGCCATGAGATTATCCCAAGTTCATATACATAATTTTATATATTGCACATAATCCTTAGCGCATATTTTTTAACCAACACTCCAGCTTACTTATCTGCATGGCAGCCACGAGCACTTATCTTCACACAAACAAATCCATATGTAACTAGCTCTATATATAAAGCTATATGCGCTAATCCATTTAGGGCATTTCGCAGTTCTTAAATTGTCCATTTCATATGATTATCTATGCACTGTATACCGCTTTAGTGCGCTCCCCTCCACGAGTCAGCATGCAGCAGCTCCAATTTACTTAATTAAAAAACATAATCGCTCCACTTTGCTATCATTTCATTTGCCGCCACTTAAGTTACGATTGTATATATATATGCGTGTGTAAACTGTGGTAGGGTTTGTGTATATTTGTCCCAGTGGCAATAAACGAATATTTTGCTCTGCACTGCAGCAAGCCCATGCTGTTACATATACGTTTACTGCAAGTTGTGTGTGTTCTTTATGTACTCGCATATTTGTTTCATAAGCGTATATGGATTATGACGCTCAAAAGGGCATAAAACGAGAAAAAAAGAGCGGCAAAAACAAACGAGCTGTCATCTGAATACTCCTTGAATGTCTCAATTCGCCATTTAATCCATTGACTTTCACATATCGACGTAGAGATATCGTAAACTTCAATTACCAAACGTTAATGTTGTTCGCACTTGAAACCCGCTAGGAAATTGAATGCCTTAGTAGAAGACAAAGTTAAAGTGGTTTACGGAACTGATTTAAATAGCCTCAAATACAAAAATTAAGACAACTTATTATATAAATACTAAAAGGTTTTTTTCCTGGTATTTTTTTGACAACATTTCGGCTTTCCAAAAAGTTTCTCAATTTGGTTTAAAAAATCGAAAATTTGACACCTTCGATCATTACCTGATCATATACAGCGTCTAGCAATAGGGCTTCCCAGAAACAAAATTGTAGAAAAAAATATTTTTCAACTTAAATTAGAATTTAATGATAATTTCCATCAACCAAATTCTCCATCATTCGTTCATTACCTGAAAAATGCGGTGTCTAAAAATCGGATTACAAGAAAAAATTTTAAAAAATTATATTTCAATTTCTCTAAAAAATCAAAATTATCATCGAAAATCTCAAGCCTTCGACCATTAACTGAAAAGCTGATGGCGGCCATATTTATTTATGGATTTGTGTCAAAGTCATTTGTCAGTGTGTTCAATGAGGTTCGCGATTTCAGCACTTTGATACAACCCTAGCGGCCCTCCAAATTTTCGATACCTGTTTTGTAGTTCTTTGATTCAATGTATCAGTTTTGTCGATCTCCTCTTCCTTCGACGAATTATTCTTCCCAGCAGTTTTCTTGAGATCTGAGAACAGGAAGTAGTCGAAGGGGGCTAGATCTGGAGAATGCATTACTTGAACTTCAAGAAGAAAACACCAAACACCAAACACCAAATATTTCTGACACCTGATAGATTTCCAACTAGACACATACATACATACACACAAACACACACATACCGCTAGAGAGGAAGAGAGAGTGAGTGAGTGACATAACGCCCATAACAAAGCGCACAGCGCGAGTTTAACTTTAAAGGCTAAATAAAGCAGCGACAAGTTTCAGCATCGGCATTCAGGCATCGGGATCGCTCAGATAGCAGTGAAACCAATTTGAAGCTCTGTTGAGTTGCAAAACCGAACAATTTTTTCGCCATTTACAAAAACACGCATGAATACACGCACAAACACACACGCACTTACATATTGTACGGATTATATAAATGCGCACAGAAAAGTATTCGAGTGTGTATGTATGTCAGTGTAGCTGGCAGTTGATATTTTTTATAAAGTTTCTCCCCCCCGCACATACGAAGTACAAACACGCACACAGTCGCACCGACACTTTTCACTTGCGCATAGATCGGTTTGTTTGGATGTATGTGTGTGTGTGTCTGTGTTGAGTGTGCGGGCAAATTGTTGAAAATCCAATGTTAATTGTATGGAAGAGCGCCATTTTAACGCATTGCAATTAAGCCGTAACAACAGCAAGCACAACAACAGCAGCTATGGTAGTGATGCCAGCACGTGCAGCGCTGACAACGTGATAACGCAACGTACGCGCGTGTTACGTCACATACCTGCAAATATACTCTTGCTTGCAACAGTGAGGAAAAATCGGTAGGGGATAAAACTGCCGTCAACCGAGGCTGACTAAAACGAAATGAAAAATTCAAAAGCAAAAATGTCTAAAGCCAAAAAAAAAAAAAAAGTGGAAAAAAGAAAAACAGCAAAAAAGGGAGCAAAAAGTGGCAGTAAACTGTTAAGTAAACGAGCGCCGAGTGGTGGCTTCAAAAGTGGCACACGAACTCGTTCAAAAACCAATATTCAGATGCATTCGAGGGGCAAAAATGATAGTTCATCCACTCGGCGCTACTGTTGGGGTGCATTGCAATTTCTGTTGCTCTGTGGGTAAAAACCGAAGATGTGTGATGGCTTTGGGGCAAGGCATTCTGCCCCCTCTAAATGTGCTTGCTCTCCAAGTGTAGAGCATAGAATTTGTTAAGGTAAATTTGAAAGGTCTTGAGTGAATGGACATTGGCAAATAGCTTTTCCTTACACATACAGATACAAATGTCGTTAGGTGAATGTTTAGTGGTGCGTACCCAGTGAGAAATTTTTGCGAGTGGTTCTTCCACATTTTTATTCTTATRWCACATTTTTATACTYTTGCAACATGTTGCTATCAAGTAAAATAGTTTTGTTTATTTAACAGTTKTTTGTATCACCTAAAACTAAACTAACTTAATAATCGGAATGATGAAATGGGTTGAAATCCGGGTGAGTGGCTGTCTGTTCGTAYAAACGATAACTTGTGAAAAAGCTGAGATATCTTAATGTAAACTGGTAAATACGTGCTTGACGCCCACGGAGTTTTGGTATTATAGAAATATTGCTACGMCCATAAAACGTCATCAATCGAAAAGCTAGAAAGTGCTAAAATTAAGCTCCAAATTAAGGCGCAAAGTTGTAAGTTGGTATTGGTGGACTACAACCASGCCTACTTTCCATATAACACAATTTCAAAAATTCCTTCCGCTTCTTTCAATTCCCGTAAACAAATCAATAAACAACCAAAAATTATACACATCAAATATATTAAATTTGTATAGCATCTGCTCCTTATTATTCTTATGATTTGCTAAAAATTAGATTTCTGCAAAATTCAAGCTTTTTTCTACTTGGTCTTGAAAACCAAATCCCTACTAGTTATAATTGTTAGGACCTGTTAAAAAGAGTAGATGTAGAACTTAGAATTTCCTTCATTTGGGCTTGGAAACAACACTTCTCTAGTTACTGAAAGCTCGATCGAATTGACATGACTTGCATTGAAAGTTATGTTCCATTGCTTTGCCAACTGCACCGCATTTTTTCTGTTGGGTCTTCGTACCCCAAAGGGAAACCAACCACATGCTCGACTATGCCAATGCATACAAATGGGGGTCAACCCGCAATAATGGTAAATTGTGGGTGAAATTTGTCTATACGTGATAGTGTAACCAAATATACACAGAAACATGAGGCCGAACGCTGGTGTGGAGGACGATTGGCAACGCAAGGTAAATAAAAACACTCACCATTTGCGGGTGTGCTTGTGTGGGCGCACGTCAAGTGGTCATACGGCGTTGACGAGCACGGAAGGTGGTAAGCGTATGTGTGGGTTAAAGTTCACGTGAAAGTTTAAGGGAGCAATGACACAAC